AGAAACCAAACTTCCTACATATCTGTCAGAGGTGTTGAAGATCGAGGAAGGTGACTAGAGTTCCAGTCTGTGAAAAAGGTGTCGTTCTTCGTGATCCACGGGAGATAAACGAATTTACAAGGCTTGGAATGCTGCAGGGTAGCAGATTCCATGGAGAGTTTTGGCAACAGTAGCTAAGGATTGGTGTAGAAGAGCACGGGTTCCAAGTAGAGCTGCAAGGAGTGCAGTCGGTGATCAGATAGTACGGGTCGTCTAGTTTGGTAGACTGTAAGTTGTTAAATTCATTTATAGTTGATTGACTGGCAAAGTGCCCGAAGTTTTTTCCAGTTGGGTTTCTCAGTGCTCATTCTGGTGTTTGATTTACTATTTTATATTACGAATGAATAATCTGTGGTATTTAAACTTGGGATTAAATTGACTGCATGATTAACCATTTAGAGATAATTAATTGGTGATTTGTTGCTAATTAGTTAATAAGATTTTATTCCGCATATTACACTTATTCAGTCCCCTCTAGGTGTTGTTAGGGTCGAACTTGCGTTTTTAAGTATGGATTCAACTGCCTTTAGGTTATGAATTATGACTTACGAGAGATTCATGAATATAGTACTACTCATTGGTTAATTAATTATTATGTATGTATTTATGTTATCATTCTTATGAATTTGCCTTTATTCTTTAGTTCATTCACTATTTGTAATTGTTGCCATTGTAATTTTTTCCCTAAATGGTCTACCACTCTATTTCATGTGGTATATGTAACTATAGTCTATGCTATGTGTTGGTACGATACTTTGACAAAAAAATCATATATTTAGTCTTTCTTTGTTAAACTAATTTTAATGCCTTTTTACACTCAAATTTCAGTATGTGTTAACTATTAAATGACTTGAGTGGGTTCAATTAATGTATTTAAATGATCGTTTAGAATATTTTTGCATTGTTATTTGATTGTAATATAGATATTTTGAATATTTCACTTTATTTGTTGTTTATTGTTAATTTTAAGTTAACAAATTTAGTGGCGTTAAATTCTTATAAATAAGAAAATTGCTTACTTGCTTGATTGCTATGATTAGGAGTACAAATTCTAAAGTTCGTCACTGGTCATGTGAAACGCATGTACGGCACTGGATCTAAATAATAAAAATTAAACAATATGACATATTACTAAAATAATTGTGCTGTGATAATTCAACTAAAACATTAAAATTATTGTAAAATATTTTATAGTATATTAGAATTATTGTAATAGATTTTATATTATGTGAAATAAATATTATTTATGAAGATGGAATATATAGAAAAAGAATAATATTTTCTCAAATAAATATAATGAAGTTTAAACTTTAAACCATAGGACTTGTACAGTCATGCTGTTATCAGTTTTATACTTGTTGAACCTTTTGCCAATTAACAACTTTTTAATAATATATATATTCTTTTTAAAAGGCTCTACTACTGAAAGTTCTACTTACAACTGTTGTGTTTATTGAAGTCGAATTTAAAGTTTGTGACATGGCAGTCAAAATCTTTTAATACAACATAAACTTCTATCTTCAATAAAATTATTGTGAATTTTCGATAAGTTCCTTGAAAGAAGAGAGAATTTGTTGGAGAACAATTTAGTGCATGTTTGAAAAAATTTAGAAATAAACTTTTTACCAAATAAATATAAGAAGCTTATTAGTTTAGAAGTCTACTAATTACGTTGCAAATCCATTGAAGTCTTTTTTTTTTTCTGAAAAAGGAGTGTAAAAACATCCAATCTATGCCGTAGACAAATTCTGATGAATGTCTTCTTCATCCCAAGAAAGACTTAAGTTTAGGCTGATTTTTCAGATATGATGTTAGATAGTGGTTTAGAGGATGCTGGTTTTTCTAGGTCTCAGTTTACGTGGACTAATGGCAGGGTCAGTAAGAGATTGGATAGAGTTTTGATTAACTCTTTAGCTGGAGACTTTTGTAGACAACTTACTGTAACTCATCTAAATCGTACTTCATCAGATCACTCACCTCTACTTTTACAGTGGATTTCTGATGATGAGTTGTGCCCTAGACCATTTAGATTCTTCAATGTTTGGACCAAGCATCATGATTTCTCAGCCTTCGTTTCTCAGAAGTAGTTACTCCTTACTCATCTTACAGGAATGGCTGCCCTCTGGGAGAAGTTTTTTAGGCTGAAACAGGGACTAAGATGGTGGAATCGGCGGGTATTCGGTGATGTGTTCCAGAGAGTTAGAGATGCCGAGGATAGGGTTGACCAGGCAGAGATTGATTTTGAGGCTGACCCTTCACCGGAGCACCGTGATTTTCTTCATCGGGTACAGGCTGATTTGAACAGGACCTTAGCTATTGATGAGGGTTTTTGGAAGCAAAAGGCTAGTTCTCGTTGGGTGTGTGAGGGAGATCG